CGTCGCTCGCGATCTTTTCTGTCACTAATCACAATCGTTACAACGCACAATTAAATTTGAGAAGAATGAAAGTCTTACTTTGACGGAAGCCACACGTACAACTTCGCCAAACATATTGCTCCTCCTGGCATAGATGCTTTTTCGTGTCTTCAAGATCAGACCTCTATCGGGGGACCACGTGGCTAGATCGAAAGTTCTGGTGCGATTATCGCGTATGGCGTACCACTCGACCAAAATCGGGCGATCGCAGCACAAGATCAGCATCTGGGTGCTGACATCCACATTGAATACGTTATGGGTAGGGTGTGTACAGTGCTCTTCGAAAGGATTCCCAGGATATTGAAGGAACACGATGAACCAGATGGGGAAAGAGATAGGCTTTATGCTTTTCGTGGTATTGGCGAACTCGGCCATAGTTTTCCCAGTATCGAGTAGAACAACGAACAAAGGCCGCGTGACATTTTCCTGGTACTCATTGTACTTGCTCGTCAAATCCGAGAAAGTTGTCATCATGGTCATTACTCGCTGCCGTGAGAATTCAAGCGACCACATGTGCACCAATGTCGTTGTGTTCAAGTCTGCGCAAAAATTAGAACAGATGTTATTTTACATTCATATTATATGTATTTATAGACTTACATCATTTTTTAAGTAAATCTAAATTTTTATTTATAAAAAATATTTCCAAAAGTATTATTAAAATGGACTTTTAAAAATACCCGACTCTTACCTTCTTTATTTGAAGTAATATGATAAAACTGAAACGATTTGCACGAGAAATTATGATTTAACATTTATTCAAAAGTTCGAGGAATCTTTTTTTTCGTTAATATAAGAAACGTTTGTCATAAAATGTTTCCGGTACTCACCGGAATTGCCAGATCGCACAAAAATAACGCACGACGTGCGATAATGTCTGTGGACGTCGTTGATCAGTCGGGAATAATGGTTAATTCCTATTTCTTCCGTCAGCAGTTTATGCAATATTAGGAAGAACATTGCGATCAATCGTGCTGTCGTGTACTTCATTTCATGAAGCGCAAGTTTGAAAACGAGTACGTACTACTTGTGCGTGTACGAGTATGGTTAAAACGATTACTGAGTAAAAAATAAAAGAAAAAAAATTTTATTTTATCGAGTTGAACACTATTACAATAAAACAATTAACAATTAATTCGGAGCGAGGAATTATATTAGAGGCACAATAAAATTTGTAAATTAAGTTTAAAGTTCTAAAAACAAGAATCGCAAAATTTTTTTAATCTGTCGGAAGTGACTATTGCAAAGTCAAGGATTAAGGAAATGTTAATGAAAATACCCACGACTCATGGATGCGAATGCGTGACTGAAGGTCGATTATCGCAAATAGAGATTTATCAGATCCGAGGATCTAAAGGGTGAGCGCGAAAGAATGTTACCGGAAGATGTGGATGTGCGGCATTTTTACAAATTACATAATAATATCGTAACGATCTTTATCAGCGGATCATCTCTATCGAAAAAAGTACCGATAAATTATTCACCGTCGCACAATGGATTAAAAGATGAAAAAGAGCGGACATAATGTGTGCAGCTGGCATAGAATGAAATTTTTTACAGCAACACTATACATATATATATATCTTCAAATGTGCAACTGAAAAGGGGCTGCTAAGAGTCGGCGCAGTAAGTAGTGCGCAGATATATACGGTTTTTTAAAACCATCATTATAATTTGAATCGACAATACATTCACTCTTAAAAACGTTTCGGCTCCGTTCGAGTTATCCTCAATGTAATACAATTCCAATCATTATCTCAACGCATTCTTCGTGTCTTTCGAAACTCACATTGTTTGTCGTCAATCCAAGCTCTCGAGGATTTTAAAATCTCCATAGTCGAAAGCCTGTGTGTGTTATATCGTAGACTATCAAGTCATATCTTAATAAAAACGTTAGGGATCAACCAAGAGAACTCACTTCAGGATCGTGCGACCGACATCCGAGCTTGTCCTGATGTCGAAATTCAACAGTCAAAAGATAAAACGGTGTATATTTATGAGTCAAAAGTCGAC